AGCCAACCCTCTCCCCTCCTCTGCTCTCCACCACCAGCCGCAGCCTCCACAAGCCAACCCCCTCCCCGCCACGACCTAACCCCCTCCCGGTCTCTCCACCATCAGCTGCAGCCTCCACGGTATGACCTCATCGAAATCCCTCACTCTGCTCTCTATTTCTAATGGCTTGGAACATCTACTGTAGTAACCATAGCTATAGCTGCATGTTTTACACTGGTCGTCAGAGTCCATTAGCAGGATTATGGAACGCGAAAATACGGATATATAATACAATCTCTGTTGTACCTGTACCAAGCTAGTCCCTTTGCATTTTCCACTAGACAATTATCTGGATATTCTTTGATTTATTCTCACGGAGCATGCTTAATAATAGAGCCACTTACCTGCCTACTTTAATGGAATAGGGAACTCTTCACCGACATAGACGGGGTATCTCGACGCCTCGTGGATGTGAATGTGACCGTGGAAGGCTGCTCCTACAGTCGGCCACAGCTTCCACCGTATGACTTTGTCGCCATCCCCTCACTCTCCTCTCTATTTTTAATGGCTTCGAACATCTAGTGGTGATAGCTGCATGTTATACATTTGTCGTTCGTATGTATAAATGCAGAATGTAATCTCTCTTACACATGTACCAATTCAATGAGGGCTAGTCCATTTGCATTGTCCATGAGACAACTATCTATGTATTCTTTGATTTATTCTCTCTTAGAGCATGCTTAATACTAGAGCCAACTGCTGGCTATATCACATTGCTTTGTCACTTAGAGTTGGTCTAATACCCCACCCAACTTTAGTTAGCAATGTATATATATATATATATATATATATATATATATATATATATATAAACTTATTAAGCACTACATTAATAGATGGCTCACCTCTAACGAAAACTTTTTCAAGCTTGCATCATGTTATTCTACTTACCCTCGTTCGCAAGGTTGTGCAGCTCCTATTCTTGTTCCACCGACTTTCTGTCCAAGAGTCGCTAGATCATTAGAAAAAGAGCTATTTATCGAAGCTATTAGTGGTCAGATTGAATTATTCTGTTCGAGAGCACGAGGCTTTGTAAAAAGTCCTCTTTTGACCACTATCACGACCAAATGTCTTTGATTCTAAAAATCTGCATTTGTTTTTGGAGTGCTTCTTTTTTAGTTAGTAATAACTACTTAGTTTTAAGAAAGGTTAGTTTTTCTTCTGAGGTAAGAGGTCAGGTTAACTAGTTTTTTTAGAAACACCTGTAGTTTTATTCATGCTCCCAACCATTACAGATAAAATGATTTTGATCCATTATCAAAGAAATTGCAGAGTAACTCCTACAACTATGAATTACAGTGAGATCTCTTGGAGACATCTTGTCCTTGGTATCAATTTTTTCCAAAATAAATAAATATATTCCACAAACTTATTATCGTTTGCTTTTTCAGCTGTGAGGACACTGAGCAGGCAGTGCGTATTGAGGCCCCACCATCGCCAAACCACTTTCCACCTGTTTCGGCATTGATGCCAAGAGGATTACTAATTAAGTATTTTCTGAGGGTTGATGCTGGTGGACTCTTCCACACATATCCTCATCGAGGTGGTCCGTTTAAGAGCTTACAAGAAGCTCAGGATGCTATAGACTCCTATCACATTAATCTGTGTAAATTCAAGTAAATCCTCTCTCAACTTTGTTTCTATTTATAAGTGTTGGAAAATGCTCATATTTATATGCTATGTCCTATGCTAGCACCTTATATGCAAGTATATTTCTCTTTAGCTCACTCCTAACTTATAGTTAGGCCACTATTAGCTTGGAACACCCGAGGGTGATAGGTCGAAGTTTTAATGAAGTGGACAGAATAGTCTTGTGACAAAAGATCAATTTCTTAAAGTCGGTGTATCTAAAGATCAATCATCCAAGCTTGTACTTTTTCTCAGCTATGTGACTGTGTCTTCAGATTCCTGCCCCAGTGTTGTCTTGCAGGTCGGGACTTAATGGCCTCTTGTTGGTGATCACTGTGGACCATTGCTGCTGTGATATAAGAGCAAACCGTTGAGATCTCCTTCGGTTTACAGGAATTTTGTACGAATTCTAAAAGAGAGGAATTTTGTAGGAAAATTACTTTGAGGCCCTTTGGTTTGTTGGAATGAATTTCCTATTCCTATGTAGGCTAGGAATCAATCCTTCACGTTTCAAAGGAAAAAAAAACATTAGCCTAGACCAAATGGAAAAGTTCCTATCCTATGAATCAAATGTGCAGCCTTTAATGAAGCCTTATTTTTGGGCTCTTTTGATCAGCGTAGCCAGAACATCAGCAGCAATGTTAAAAAGTAAAAGAGAGAAGGTGTCTCCTTGCCTGAGTCCCTTCCTAGTAACAAAGTAATTACCTATCATGTCATTCTGAGTATTAGCAACATGCCATTGCAGACAACAGCATTAGTCCACCACGCAAACTTCCTAGGGAAACCTTTCATTTCTAGAACTGAAAACATAAATTCCAAATTGATTTTGCCGTATGCCTTCTCAAAATCTACTTTAAGAAAAACAACAGGTATTTTGCTCTTATGTAAAGAATGTTAAGTCTCAATGTAGCATTACTACACTATCTAAAGTATACGGCCTTTAATAAAAGCATTATGAATCTTGGCCGTTACATTCTCTGTAATCAGCATAGCCCTACTTGGCAATCAGGGCCTTGGTAAAAAAAATTAAATGCCACAGTAAGCATGCAAGTAGGTCTATACATTTGGATCTTGTCAGCCCCCTACCCCTTGCTAATCAGGGTGACAATTCCATAGTAGAGTTCTTTAAAATCACAAGCATTGTGCTTGCACTTCAAAATCCCTGACCCTCGCATATCGCGTTGTTTATCTACACTAGGTACTTGGGTGGGCTTTCCAAAGAGGACAGGTATGTTTGGCATACACTATATTGGCGTAATGGCACAAGGAAGAACTCGAAAGAAGCTTTGGATGTAATGATGAACTATAACCCCACTCGGGAAGTAGTTAAAGCTTTACTGGACAAGCACAATGAGGACCATCTTTTGGAGGTTTGCTATCTCCCTTGCTCTCTCTTGCCGTTTTCTTGATTGCCGCTCTCCCTCACTGTCTTTCTTATGTTTTAGGATCTTGCATATGAAATCAAGAAAGTTGTGAGTTACAAAGCTCACTTCCCAAGAAAAGGTTCTCAGCATGAATGCAGGTCCTTCTCACATTTAAATGTGCTTGTAGAAAGAGGACCTAATGCCATCGAAGATCTTCTCTTCATTGAAATGACCTGCACAACAGATGGTGAATTTGAGGAATACACGCTTAGTTGCATTTGTGTGGTTTCATCCGAAGATGATGGTATGTTTGCATTTTCGTTATTTAGCTATTCAATTCTTCCATTCAGCATTATCAGTATGCAAGTCAGTAAAATTTTGCATTCTATTCATACTTTGTATCACCTAGTGCCTTTTAACTAAGTGGTACTGGTAGCTGTTTTCACACTTTTTTAATTCACTAGAAGAGTAGGTGTGTTTGCTCCATGGGTACAGCCGTACAGGTAACAATAAAGAAAAATCAGCATTTGCTCACAGCACATGTTTTTGACTCATTTGAGCATGTCTAAAAACATAAGAGTAAGTGTGTTCGCTAGCTGTTTTAGATATTCGAGAATATTAACTACTCCCTCCGTCCCATAATATAAGAGCGTTTTTGACACTACACTAGTTTCAAAAACGCTCTTATATTATGGGACGGAGGGAGTATGTTGTAGCATAGTTAATCGATGAAACCGTATAAGTGTTCCTAGGACAGATCAGCTATATTTTTTTCGCTGACTTGAATTGAAAGAATAGTTCTGCCTGAAATGTTATGCTGAACCTAGTAACCATGTGGTGCAGATTTACATTGCCAATAAAATCATGCTCGGTTCTACCGGTAGCCAATATAAGGATACTCCACAAGACCATGCTGTGAGAGATTCTGAATGACTTGTACTATGATAGTCATCAAGCTCTAGTATTTCTTTTGTACATTAGAATGCTAATTGTAGGTGAGTGCTCTGAGTGTGATGATGTACATTACATATTGGTTAACAAAACTATACCATAATTGTAGGTGAGTGCTGTGAATGCGGTGATGATGTGAAGCATCCCACTGGTGCGGAGTACAAAAAGTGTGAAGCCAAGCCCCATGTTCGGTGCAGGAAGCCTATATCAGAAGAAGAATTTAATGAGGTATTATTTTGTTGGCAATTTTTTAGAATGATATGGATGTGCAGATGAGTCAATGTTAGTTTCATGTCTTTTTTTTTTGCAGTTTATTGTTGTGCGCGATGAAGATTGGCTGGAGACGGAAGAGGCTGCGGTGAGGTGGCAATTCAGGATGCGCAACGCAGCAGATGGCCATGGAGCGAGGGGCAAATACATCGTACCGGCAAAACGTGTGCAGGCATAGATGTAGAGTCGATGGGGCCTAGTGCTTGCTTTGCTGTATGCCATTCTTGTGCTGCGTTCGTTTTTGGTACCTGTGATGCTGAGTCAGTACTATGTGTCTTGAGTGTTTGGCTTGCTGATGTAGAAGCCTCGTCTGGGTGGAGGATAAGCTGGTGTGAAGATCCTGTGCAGAACCCGTGTTTATGGTGTAGGTGAACCCAAGTTTTGCGGGAGTAAGCTGGCAAAACGAAAGTGACCATGTGCTTTGTTGGTGATTTTGTTTGGTAAAGCAATGTGCTCTTGCAGTGGATGGTACCTACTTACAGGTAGCTTTTCATGCCTGAGAGTCTCAAGACCTGTTTTGTTGTCACAGTGAAGTAATCACGGAAATGATTGAGAAATGAGAGTACATCCGTGACGAGAGAACTTTTGTCAAATTGTGTACTCAAACCTAACTATAGTTTATTTACAACACTGTACTTTGTATCTTAGCAATCTAACTTTAAGTACATAACAACTCAAACCCAACTATAATTTATTCACAACACTGTACTTTGTATCTATCTTAGCAATTGACCTGAAGTACAAACCCAAGTAAATTCCTGCCCACCCCGCAAAAAAATAGAAGTAAATTCCTGCCAGTGTGAACAGTTTGTATTTTTAGCATTGGTTTCTGAGTTGTCAATAAAAACTGAAGCTTAATTTTTCTCTGCGTGGTCATTCCTGTATTGTGCAATCATACATGTCCTAGGCACATGTCAAGGTTATTTCCAATAGGCTGGGCCTCGCCATATGACAGTGGCCCACCTTGTCAGGGAGAAGGGTCGCTGACAGGACGCCTCTGTATGACACCAAAGGTGTTGATGCTGCCGCGTCTCATGACTCGGCCGCATCCCATGACACCAACAACACTCGCGGATCTGATGCCGATGTCATCTCCAGTCATATCAGTCTCCTCCGCCACTACCGGTGGTGCCTTCTGAGCTGCAAGCTCTGCCACATGTTTTGACTTCATAGGTGGGACAACGCATGGTCCGTTGCTTCATCCTTCTGCAACATTTGTCCACTCCATGGCCTCGATGCCTCTTCCTTCTAGTGCCAGTGCAACCCTACGTGATACGGCATGGTCTGCGGCAATGAAGGAAGAGTTCGACGCGCTGCAAGCAAATGGCACGTGGACCCTCGTGCCATGTCCCCGTGGTGCAAACATCGTCACGGACAAGTTGGTTTCCTGGCATAAGCCCAAGCTGGATGATTTCTTGTAGCGGGAGGCACATTTTTTTCCAAAATGGAAGATTACCCTGGTCTCTGCGTTAAGCGATACACACAACCATTTATCAACATCATCAACGTACGCCATCACTAGTGGAAAGCATGTTTGGCACTTATATAATGGAACCATATTATCTTTTATGGAAATTATTATCTTCCTTACAAGCGGCACAACTTCCCAACATTGGATCGTCCCTGCAGCAATCTATTGTGTCATGGTTACATCATGGATAATACTGAAGAAATTGTGGCAACCACGCTGTAACTAGCTGGGCAATATATAATAGTCTCCTTTCGGAATATCAAGACCTCTGAGACGAACTACTTTGTTCCTCTTTTTTCTTTAAATTGTTGTTAGATCGATGACCCTTGTGTGAATCTTGCTTATGAGAGGTATATTTTGTTGTGGATCATTTACTTCGGTTGTGTTCTACATAAATGTCTTCCACTCCATTTCTCTTCTCCTACGAAAAATCATACTCCCTTAGTTCTCTAATATAAGATGTTTTAGATATTCAATCTGGACTACATACAGACTGAAATGCATGAAAAATGCACTAAAATGTGTTTTTATAACTTTACTTTGTATCTTAGCAATCTAACTTGAAGTACAGAACAACTCAAACCCAACTATAATTTATTCACAACACTGTACTTTGTATCTATCTTAGCAATTGACCTGAAGTACAAACCCAAGTAAATTCCTGCCCACCCCGCAAAAAAATAAAAGTAAATTCCTGCCCGTGTGAACAGTTTGTGTTTTTAGCATTGGCTTCTGAGTTGTGAATAAAAATTGAAGCTTAAATTTTCTCTGCGTGGTCATTCCTGTATTGTGCAATCATACATGTCCTAGGCACATGTCAAGGTTATTTCCAGCAGGCTGGGCCTCGCCATATGATAGTGGTTGATGTAGGGTGGAACCCTATACGGCCGATCAGGAGCGGATCCCAACTAAGAACACGAAGAACACGACGAAGAACGGAGAGAAATCCAAGGGGAAACACTCAAGAACAAGTCCAATCACACATCCACTAGACAATCAAACACACAAGATCCACAAGGTACATGAACAACAAAGGGAAAGATACAAGGTAAGGTTCATGTCCATGAAGAGGTCTTGAATCCATGAGGGGATCTTCCCGTGAGGGGTCTTGAATCCAAGGTGGATCTTCTCCGAATAGGGGCCGCGGTCTCTCTCGTGGAGTAGATCCGTAATGGATGAGCAAAGCTCTATCTCTAAATGAGCTACTACTTTGCTAACCTTAACTAGGAGGAGGGGAAGGAGTATATATAGTCTAAGTCATGAAGGGGTAAGTGGGAAAGGGATACATGGGCCTCTGGCCCGACTCTGCGCGCAGGCAGGCGCCGTATGTCCGGCCTGGGGGCCGGAGGTCCGGGCTCTTGTGAGACGCCGGATGTCCGGGGCGGTTGGCCGGATGTCCGGCCCGAGCGGGGTGGCCTTCTGTTGGCTCCTATTGTTGATACTGGATTTCCGGGGGAAGGCTGGATGTCCAGGCTGTGGCGTCGCGCTGGATGTCCGGCCGCTGATGCTTCGGCCGTCTGTCGGTGCAGCTGTTGGGCGGCTGCACAGGCGCCGGATGTCCGGCCTCTAGCCCAGATGTCCGACCGCTGTAGCTTCAGCAGCTTCGTCTTCTTCCGTCGTCCCTTCTAGGCTTCCCTCGCGGATGGTGTAGTTGTTCCTTGGCGCTTGCACTCCTGCTCGTCACCCGTGAAGCTCCGACAATACCTATGCATGCACACGGGAGAAATGTCAAGTAGTATACCATCCTCGAAGGGGTCAAGTGAGCACGTGTAAAGGAGATGATTCACCTTTGTGTATGTGAAGTAGATGTCACATGTGTTACTCACCGAACGGACTCTTGACATGGTGATGTCCATAGGATGCTCCGCATCATCTCCCCTCCCTTGGGAAAGATTCAACCTCGGATCAAAAACCAAATCACCATGGGAAAGAGATGGCTTCGCCATGTAGAAGTGGACGTTCACCGGGTACTTGTCATCTTTAAGCTCAAAATGTGCACTCTCCAATGTCGCACCATCTTGTGATTCCTTCAAAAGGAGTAAGGACAACAAATACTTGGAAAAATTAATGTGGTTAGCGTTAGTGCAAAACCAAGCATTCAAGAGGTGAGTCATCAAACAAGTGTCATCATCATGCAATGCATATGGTGTGACAAAGGATTGTGACATGACATGTAAGCATATCAATTGAGCACAAGCAAAGAAATCATGGGGACAAGCATGTGAATGTGAGGTAGTGGTGCAAATATGTGTGACAAGAGAAGAAGCATCTACCTCAAGTTCATAGCAAGAATTCACAAATTGCTCAATGAAAGGTCTATGGTAGGCATAGGAAACATTCACAACACCAAATAAGATGAGATATCTAAACACATGGGTCAAGTGCAAGACAATCCAAGAATAACATGCATAGGGTGTAGTGAATATCGTGTGGCACTCAACACAATAGAGAGAGCAATTGTTCATCATGTGTGAGACAATCAAGGCAAGGATATAGCAATCAATGGGACATGGCATATGTGAAGTGATGACATTGTTGCAACCAAACATATGAGAGGAGCAAGTAATCCAAGAATTGGATGCAACACACAAGGCATATATATATCATGATGCATGGAACGGTGAAAATGACAAGTCGAAGCAAGATCTCTAACATGTGTGCAATCAAGTGGTCCAAGATGAACAATAAATCTCATGGTGCAAGCAACACAAGTAGTATGATCCGACATATCCATGATCAAGAAAGATGTCACCTTGTAGGCGTGTCCTTGTGCGTCTTTCACAATGTCGAAGTACAAACAAGTGCGATGTAGAATCGTCGTGGTAGAAGGTGGTTCACTCTCAAGAGCTCGGATTATCAACTCACGTGACGTGGAAGTTGACACGAAGTCCAAGTATCCTACACATGCACACAACAAAAAAGAACGTATGCGCATGGTAGATAAACACATCATCTATTATGATGGTTCTCTTCTCTTGCACATAACCATTAGAAGCAGAAGTGCATGAATAATATGATGCAACAATGGCAATATTCATGCACTAGGTATATGGTGCAAAGAGGTAAGACAAGCATGCTTCACAAGAAATATGTCAAAATCTCCAAATATATGCGAGAATGCTATGGGGGCAAACTCATTATCAAGACTAAAGGCATAGTTGCACTCAATACATGGCAAATCATCTAGCATGAGAGAGGCAACACATGGAGATATATGAAAAGAAGCAATAACAATCATGTGCAAAGCATGTAGGTGGTTGTCATCAACCGCATGAAAGGAGTAAGTATGAATCATCAGTGATGCAACAAGCCAAGCAATCATAGTAATCAAGTCGTGCAAGCTAGTAGTGCGAAGATGCAACATACTAGAGGAAATCATGGCAATCATGTCATGTGTGCAAATAATAGGCATAGACAATGCACATGACATATCGCAAGCACGAACACAAAGCAAGATCATAGTATCATCATAGGCATGGGGCACAAAGCAAATATGGCAATAACAAGTGATATCTCCACCAAGTTTGCAAATACACATACAAGTAGTAGAATCAATCATCATTGTAATGCAAAGCATGGGTCACAAATGCATGGCAAAGGCATAGGAATGAGCATATCAAGCAAAGTGAACATGGCAAGATGGGCATAGAATATGTAATGGACAATAACCCATAGCCAAGTGAGGGTCATGTAGAAGAAATGCGCAA